TATCTAGAGCAGTGCCTAGACTCCAGGGAGTATTCAGTGAATGTCTGTTGAATCACTGAATGAGTTCTAAACAACTCTTAGGCCTTTTACTCTGGCCAGCATCCAGACCCTTCTACTCAGCTCATATTGTCCTTGGCTCATGTTGTTTCTTCTGCCTACCCTGATCTTAGTATACCTTTCACTTACCCTGATCTTAGTATAAACCTCTGTCCTCCAGGAAAACTTCTGACCTCCCTTTTCATAGTATTTGTTAACTATGTTTAAATTGATTTATTTACTTAAGATTCGACTGTAAACTTCCAGAGGGCAGGGACCAGGTCTGTTGTATTTGCCAGTGAATTCTGTAGGATGGGAGTAGATCTTTAGTGCAAATTTGTTAAAGGAATGAGTTACTTTACATACTTACCCTTTTTTTGAAAACCCCTTTTGTAGGAAGTTGGGTCTGTTTTCTCAAATTGGATTAGAGGTCAATGCCAAACTGTCAGGGCTCCACCATAATTCACCCGGTTCTGGCTCAAGCACTTTGACTCTTCTAGCAGGGCCAATTAGTCAGCCCCAAGGTATCTCATTATCATTTATCGGGTCTTCATTATGCAGCTAGATCATCCAGCAGGAGGCCCAGAAAAGCCAGGATTTTGGCAGGGATGGGAGTAGTGAATGCTATTTACTCCTACCCCATCCTCATTCCATTTAAAGTTAGTATTTATAACACTGTGGTGTAACTGTTAATTTTCAGGTGTCTCCCCACCATACAGTGAAGGCAGGCTTATCTCTTGTCCCCAGACGCTGCTGTAATGTCTAGCATTTGACAAATTCTCATAAAAGTTTCCTGAAGGAATGTACTGTTTTCCATGAGTGAAGCTCTACTGAGGACAAAAACCAAGTCATAGGAGAAAGAACTGTATCTTTTATTTTTTCCCTGAGCCATGAAATCTCTTTAATTTGGGCGTTTTGTTACTTAGAACTGAAAATATTTCTGACAGAGCCCAACGAATGGTGTTCAAATTTCTCATAAATCACTGTTTAAAACTTAGCTCCATAAGGAAAGTATTCACTAACCTCTTGTCTTTGGGCTTAGCTCTAGGACTGCCTTAAATAAGCAGGATGAAAACCTGGGTGTGGTGGTGCATTCTTGTAATCCCAGCACTCAGGAGTCTGAGGCAAGAAAAATGCCTTCAGTGCATGGCCAGCCTGGGCTACACAGTGAGTTTAGGGCCAGCCTGAACTACATAGTGAGTCTCTGTCTCAAAAACAACCAAACCAAACCAAACCAAACCAAACCAAACCAAACCAAACCAAACCAAACCAAACCAAACTAAACCCAAACCCAAACCCAAACCCAAACCAAACCAAAAAAGAATCCCAAAAGTGGTAGATTAATTTGGTCAACTTGAGTGGGAATGCCCTGCTGAACTGCATGTGGTTCTGGGCATGGAGGAAGAGGAGATGGGAGGGGAAGAGTGCATGCTGCTAATTTCCCAGCTTTGTTGCAACTGGTTTTCGTGATATGAACTTGGCTGTTCTGTCCTGTTGGAGGAGCTTGGGTCCTTGCTGTTGTGGGGATGGCTGGTGTTCTCTTTGGTGGTGGTTCTCTCTGTCTTCACCTTGGTCATAGTGTTGCTTTCTGGCTCCAGTGCAAATCCCTGAGCCTTCTGGCACAGAACCTTCACCTTGCCCATGCGGATTTTCTAGCTTCCTCCCCTGGTCCTTGGTCCTTTCCAGTGCAGAGCCTGATACGCACTTGCATGACCCATTCCTATGAGTTCTAGGCCTCTGGCTAGACTTGTATGGAACACTGCTGTGGGACCCAGGCCCTCCACTGGATTCTTTGGGCCTCTAGTGCATTGACAGATCTCTTGCATTCATCTACATTTGATGTTTTGGGTGATTATTATAGAATGATCCTATAAATTTATGTGTCCTATATTAAATCTATTCCTTTGTAAACCCTGACAACGTGAACCAAACAAAAACAAAACAAAACAAAAATAAAAAACAAATGGGACGTTAGCAAACATACAAGCCATCAGTCTGAAAAGTGTCTGCAACGTCGGGCCTGTCCTCTTGTACCACTGCTGACTCCATTAGATTCCTTCTGGGAGCCACTGCCTCTTCAGTCAGGGCTGCAGAATGAACACTGGTGGAGTGGACCAGAGCTCACTATGTACAAGAGCCAAGCCTAGATGAATCTGCAGCTTAGAGTACAGCCACACAGGTCTGCTATTAAATAATAGCTGATTATGGATAGGTCAGGGGGTTCCAAATTTGATGCTATGTCTGAGTTACAGAAAACTTTAAACAAAGAGCTAGATGAGCCTCACTCAGACTGTCTGGAAAGGTGTTGAGAAATCTACATTCTTTTTTTGGTACTGGGATCGAACTCAAAAATCTACATTCTTTTTAGACTTTCTGGGTACTTTTTTTTTTTTTTTTTGGTCTTTTTCTTTTTTATGGGTACTCACATCCTTTTGGTGTCTTGTATTTTGAGGTCACCAATATTAAAATATGTGATGGAGTTTTTCTTTAATAACCGTTAAGACTTTTTTTCTCACTGTGATTGTGTGGTCAAACTCCAGGAAATTTTGTCTTTTGAAGTAGAATCCTCTTCAATTTGAAAACTTCTGAGACTTTTCTTTGCCTAATTTATTTTTTTATTTTTTTATTTTATTTATTTATTTTTTTCTTCTTTGCCTAATTTGAAGAAGCAGATATAAATAAAATTGCAATTTATGGCCCCAGGGTTGTTTGCTTTTTAAGAGTTGTCTCCTTTTCCTATTTCTGCTTGGGCCATGGTCAACAGACAAATGAAAATTTAAGGCAGAATGGGGGCTTGGAAAAGCTGAGACAGGTCAGGAAAGAAGCACAGAGGAAGTCAAGCTGAGAGAAGCACTGGTTGAGAAGGAGCCTTTGGTGGCTTAGCAATCAGGGACTTGAATCACACCCGATTTAGGAGCGTCAGGAATTCAACTTTAGTTGTAAAAATTGCCATGCTCCTGCTGACAATTTATAGGCCTGGTATGAATGTTATAAAATATTTAAAAGTGGAAATTTATTTATATAAACAGCACGATGAAAGTATAGTTTAAAAGAAAATATCTTTAAAGTTTTAACAATACACACTCTTACTGGAAAAATTCAGAACACACAGAAAACTAAGAAATATATTACCTGTTACTCATAAGCCACTTTTAATATATTGCTGTAGTCTTCATAACTGTTTTCTGTGGATATGCACACATGTGTATTTTAGAAAAATAGAATTTTCTTATACATACTTATTAGCATCCTGGCCAATGTTCCATGTCAGTAAGCATTAACCTAATTATCATGATCATTACCTGTATAATACTCCACTGCACAAAGGGGTCTATGTTTTAACTAGTTCTTATTTATGTACATTTAGGTTGTATTTTACTACTATAAAAAAGCTGTGATGCACATCTTTATTCATACATTTCTGTGTGACTGTCCAATCATTTATTTAGGATAAATTCTAGGCAGAATTGCTAAAGGATAAACATATCTAAAAGGGTTTTTTAAACTCCATAATCAAATTGCCCTCTCAAAATGTATAATTGTGCTAGATTTTGTCAATTTGATTAATTTTTTTTTTATCATGCTGGGGATCAAACCCAGGGCCTTGCACGTGCTAGGAAAGCACTCTATTACTGACGTACATCTCTAGCCTTTTAAAAACTACTGTTAATTATCCAAAGGGGAGAAAATCTTGTGGTTTTTAGTCTTGTCTTTTATTACTTGTGGCTTTAAATCTCTTTTTCAGCTATTGTCCACACTTCTGTGAATAAAACTAGTTGGTTTTCCATTTTTCTATTGTGTCAACTTTTTCTTGTATTTCTTCATGTCAAAACCCCTGGTTCCTCATATTAGTATTTTCTTTTATATTTACAGTGAAGATATTTTTCTAATGTGGATTTTCACACGTTTTTAAATTTTGAGTTAAATTGATGAGTTTTTCGAGACTTAACTCCCTCTGAGAGGGGAAGTAGCATACTGACTGCAAAAGGCAGATTTTCTAAGAATTTAGTGCTGATCTTATCACCTAAGTCTGGGTAGGGATCACCTCGCAAGATGTGCTGTGGACAGCAGTAGGTTTGAAGTCATCACTTTTTCTGGGTCCCAACTATTCCTCTTTAAAGTCACAGCATGAAAATTCCCTTGTAAGCGCTATAAAAAAAGAACCTGAGAGAATACACACAGAGAGCTTCTTCCAGGCCTGTCTATAGTAGATCCTCCCTAAATCTTTGCTCTTTGTAGGGGAAGAAGGCAATTCACACTTTATTTTAAATTCAGTTGGTGCATGAGTACCTGGGAGCACGTGTGGGTAGGAAGTCCTAGCGATTCAGCCATTCACCCAGCACCTCTGTGACCTGCTTGGCTGGAGTCACAGCTCGGTTCCCACCGTGATCCTGCCCCTTTCGTGGTATGTGACCTTGGACAAGTCACCTTTACTCTCCGCAGCTCAGTTTCTTCACTTGGAAAACAGATACGAGCTAGACCACCTGCCCTTCTTCTTTGGAGCTGCCCGGGGTTCGAAGGCGATGCTTCCGAGACGCTCACCAAGGGCGACCAGCGCCGCTTTGGAGGGGAGCGCTCGGCACGGCCGAGGCAGGCGGCGACCCCCGGCCCTCACCCGCGCCCCGCCACAGGAACAATAGCTCCCCCGGAGGCGGCGCCGGCCGGCCGCGGGCGGGGCCGGGTGTGCGCGGGGCGGGGTCGCAGCCACCCCTCCCGCCCGCGGCTCCGTCACGCGCCCCTCACCGGGCGGGCCGGGGTCTTTGTGACGCGGTGGCGAGGGCCGCGGACACAAAGGGAAGGCGAGCAGGCGAGCGGAGGGCCAGACCGGGCTCCCGCCCCGCGACCCCCGCCCGCTGCGCGTGCGCGCGCGCTCGCCCCCCGCCTCGGTCTCCCCCACGCGGGCTCGCACCCTCGCGCGCTCCCTCCCTCGCGCGCTCGCGACCCTCGCACGCGCCGGGACCCACCGAGTCCGTCCCGAGCGAGCGCGGCGGCCGGGGCCTGGCGGGCGCTGCGGGCAGGGCGGGGATGCTGAGGGGCTGCTAGGAGGCGCCGAGGCGGCGGCGGGGCTGGGCGCGCGGCTGGATGCCCCGGGCCTGCGGCTCCCTGCGCTTCCCGCCGTCCAGGGGCGCCAGTCATGGGCGCCGCAGCCGCTGAGGCGCCGCTCCGGCTGCCGGCCGCGCCGCCGCTCGCCTTCTGCTGCTACACGTCGGTGCTGCTGCTCTTCGCCTTCTCCCTGCCCGGCAGCCGCGCGTCCAACCAGCCCCCAGGTGGTGGCGGCGGCGGCGACTGTCCGGGTGGCAAAGGCAAGAGCATCAACTGCTCAGGTAGGACCGGTCAGCAGCCGCCCCGGGACCCCTCCCTCTGCGGTCAGCCCCCCACTTCTCCGTTTCCGCGGCTGGGCTGGGAGAGACCTGGGCGTGGGGGTCCCAGGAGCCGGGCGCGAGGGCGCGGGGCAGGGCGCTGGCGCGCGGAGGAGGCTTGGGGACCCGCGTTGGGGACGGGGAGTGGCCGTGCGTGCGTCCGTGGGTGTCGAGTGGCTGGGCGAGGGCGGCCCCGCGTGCGAGGTGCGAGGCGCGAGGCAGAGCGGCCCGCCAGGGCTCCCGGCGCGATCGTGGTTGTGCTCACGGGAGCGTGTGTTTGTGTTGTGAAGGCTTAGTGGAGTGGGGACGGCCCCGGGCAGCGGCGTGTGTGTGTGTGTGTGTGTGTGTGTGTGTGTGTGTGTATGTGCGCTTGCTTGCTTGCTTGTGTAGAGCTGTGGTGGGAGGTGGTTGGGGGCCGAGAGCCTCAGAGCGTTGAGTTTGTGTTGGGCAGGGGTTTCCTTCGGGCGCCCAGTCTCAGAGGGGTCCTGAGGTTAAAGAGAACGGGTGCTCCTGAGGACGCCCGATGTAGTATGTCCCTGTGGGTTCCGAGGTGAGAGGGAGGTTTGTAGCGTCCCCAGGTCTGTGGATACCGGAGGGAGAACGTGCCAGGACTCAGGAAGTGAGGTTCTGTGTGTTGTGTATGAAGTCTGGGACTCAGGTGGCCACCCTGGGATAGGCATTGAAGAGGAAGAATGGAAGTCCTGGAGTGAACTCCATTTGTCAGAGGGAGGGGTGTCTAGGGAGTCATCTTGTGTGGGGTTAGGGTGTACCAAGAGGTAATTAAATCTCCAAGAGTGTTTCTGTGTAGCAAGGTGTAACCCGGATTATTAAGCTGGTGTGGAGGAAACGTTGCTGTGCCCGTGTGCTTTTGTGTGTGTGTGTGTGTGTGTGTGTGTGTGTGTTTTGCTGGAGAGCCTGAGATTGGCACTCCCCGCGCAAGGGAGTGGTGACCTTTCCCCTGTGTCCAAGGCTGCCTGCCCTCCCGCAGCTGTTGGAAACAAAGAGCTTGCTGGGCTTTAATGGATAACATTGGTGAGGAAGGTACTAGGTAGTTAAGTTCTCTTTTCCTTTCTAAAGGGGTCCCAGAGGAGCCCATGGATTCAGGCCCTGGGGCAAGGAGAGTCGCCTGGGTCTCATTTGGGGATGGGTGGATTTTCCTGGAGCTACCCTGGCAGATGCTGGTGATCTTAAGTTAATCCTTAATAATTTAGCCTTTTGTCAATTCACAGTCCTCCACTGGTCTTCTGTAAATTCAGGGGGTAGTGGGAGGAAGGATGGATATGAGGCCGCTGGAGTCTGCTTGGAATCTTTGTACCCTTGAGTTTTTCAAGGAGCGTTATTTTGGGAGGAGAGTAATGGAGCAAGAGGTTATGCTACCCTAAAAAAAAGAAAGGCTTTGGCTTGCTCTTTAGGTTTGAAGGCCTAAAACCTTTTAATAATTTTCGGATCTTACATGAAGGGGGAGGGGTTTTGAGAACAAGTAACAATGACATGTACTTATATTAAAAGCACTTCTGTCCATGAAACATTTTATTTTTCTAATAGTAAGTGGGATATGATGGTGCTTTAATAAATAACCACACATTTAAGAATAAAAGCCATTTGTAGCATGCTTCTTTTGTAATGAATATTGGTTATCAAATTTACAAGTGATCACACTATGTCAGGATATTTTATAGGCAAATGTGCTATGGTTATTTGTTCTTGATAAGCTAATTTGTCCTTAGCAAAATAGTGTGTGTTGATGAATGTGCTTGTGTATGCTTGCTAACTCTAGTGCCTAGGAGTAGTTCTGAGAAAGGAAACCCATATGGAGTGGGAAAATGGGGACTGATTTAGGGGTCCTGCTTAGCAATTTGGGGCAAGTTACTTAATTTTACTTGGTTCCTTCTTTAAAAAACAGATTTGTATTTAATAATATTTGAACCTTCTTTCAAGGAGTATTTGTCACTGATCTAAATGACATAAATTAGGCTGATCAAATAAAATGTTTTGTAGTGCTAAAATATACTTGAGTACCTGGGTATAAAGCTAGAGTTTTAAGTAATAGTTGTAGGCTCTTGTTATAACTATTTCAAGGCTGAAGAGTGGGAAAAATTCGTATGGAAAATACACATTCTTAAAAATTGATGAGAACTGTGGTAATCTGGACATACACGTGTTAATACAGTTTGAGATTGTGTGTTGGTCTTTTAGTGTGTTGGTATTTTAGTCGCTTTTATTATCTAGGTATTTCCTGTGTGAACTGACGTTTATATGTTCATATTTTTGAATTTTAAAATCTGCTGGTCTTGACTCCCTTCTGATTTTCATTTTTGCTCTTGGACCATGTTTTTGGCCTACTGTGATTTTTGTGGATCCTGATTCTGGTCATCAGCTTTGTGGCAGGTATGGATGTGGAAGACTAGGTCTACAGCTTTGATTTTTATTAAATTAATAGAAGTTATGTAGGTTGTGGGAAAGGCTTGTAATATTTTACTAAAGTTTTTCTACCAAATTGATTGATGTTAGTGTATTAGTCAAACAGATGTTTGACCACTGTTCTGCATCCTCTTAGTTGAATTTAACAGATTTTTTAGCTTTGGTAGTTCAGCATTTACCTTTTTGTTCACCATTCTATCGTTAAGACAATTTTGTTAGATTGGCTTGTTAGAATCAGTTATGTAAGTGTCCTTATCATCTTCCCCTTTTCCACTTTAGTAATCTTGTCAAAAAACCAAAAAACAAATATTTTATAGCCTGCCTTAGTAAGGAGCTTGTGGTGGCTGGTAGCTTTCTCATTTTGCTGAATTCAAAGACTTGTTATATACCCATTCGAGATTTTTTGCCAGATTGTGGTGTGAAGCATAGATGTTTTTCTGGATCTCTGTGTTGCCTTGTTTTGAACATTGAAGATACATTTTTTTCATTTCTGGTCTTGTGGCACCTGATCAAGATTGCATAAATAACCAGCAGTTATTAAATCAAATCTGAAAAAAAATGTGAAGTTAAATTTGATCAGAAAGCACATAGTGGGCTGGGCATGGTGACACACGCCTGTAGTCCCAGCACTCTGGAGGCTGAGGCAGGGGGATCACCATGAGTTTGAGGCCTGCCTGGGTGACATAAGTGAGTTCAAGGCCAGCCTACACTGCATAGTGAGACCTTGTACATCCCTCCTGCAAACCCCCCCCTCCACCAAAAGAAAGCAAAGATGTTTGAACTAGCTCTGTGTCCCATTGTTCTCATGTATCTGTGCTGCTTGTCTTGGATGTTAGCTTCCTTTTATTAGAATTCTAACCTTTCAAGCTTGAGGATCAGGCTCCTTGGTGAAGCTGAATGGGGCTGCATTGTCTCTTCATGGCTTGGTTCTTACCACATCATCCCTTAGCTGTGGAGCCTTTGTTTATCTCTTCTTGTTCTAAACAAGCCGTTTTTGTTGTCCTCTTCCCTGGCACTCCACTCATTCTGGCTTCGGGCCGGTTGCCTATTCCCTTTGATTTTTATCTTTTTATTTATACTTAAAATCTAACTAAAAAATTCTCTTACAAGAATGTTCTCCGTTTATCTAAAGAGAAAAAAGGTTGGCAATACATGATACTTGTGAAGAAAGAAGAGTTTTAAACTCAGGAAACCAGGTAGCCTTAGACATGACATTTTTTTCCATTTGTCCTTTTTGGTTTTAGGGGTTCAAGAAAAGCAGATGAAGTTAAACGTGTGAGGCATTTCTAGCTAAACATACTGAGACCAGTACGTGACATTGGTGATAGGTACGGGGTAGAGATTTGGGTTTTAAAGTTGTGTCAGGAGTTAGAAATAGGTAGGTCCTCTGACTGTTACGTGTTGGGAAGAATGTGGGTCCTGTAAATGTTAGATTGAGAGAAGGGCTTATCAGTGGTGGCTCAGAATTCTGGGGAATAAAAAGTGAGTTCTTCTAATTAATTTGGAGTCTTTGTCAGGATACTTCTTGAGCCCTGATGTGTAAAATGCAAATATTAATTTATTTAATGAGCCTTGATTGATTGATTGTTGGTATAATCTAATATACCAGCTGGTAAGGGACATATATGAGAAGCAGTCTTTCCCCTCAAGGGCTTTATAGTCCAGCAAAGGTGGTCAGCCTCATACAGATATACGCAGTGGAAATTTCTGCTGGGACTGCTTTTTCCCCCTGGACAGAGTAAGCATTTTTGAATACTAAAAGCAGTGGAATTTTTAAAAAGTTGCACAATCAAGTTATTTTTAGAATATTCACAGAATTGGATAGCCATAACTACTATCTAATTCCAGAACATTTTCTTCACCCCAAAAAGGAATCCTAGAAAAAAAATAAAAAAGAAAAAGAAAACTCTATCCTTGTTAATAGTCAGTCATTCTACTACTAATGTGCATTCTTTCTCCATGGATTTGCTTATTTTAGATATACATGTAAATGGAATCAAAAATACTTTGTTTGTGGCTTCTTTAGTGTAATGTTTTCAATGTCTATGGTGTATATGTTAGAACTTCCTTTTGTGGTTGAAGAATAATATTCATTTGTCTGAATGTACCACATTTGATGTACCCATTCCTCCATTGGTGAATATTTGAGTTGTTTTTACTTTTTGGCAATTGTCATTACGTTCCTATGATACTATGATACTATTACTCTGCCTTATTCTTGTTTATGTTTGTTCCTGTGGTACTAGGAGTTAAACCCAGGCCTGGTGCATGCTAACAAGTGCTGTGCCACTGAGGTGTGTCCCAGTCTTTCTTTTTT